GCTTCTTGCTCCTAGTAGCGTGGCACTTGTTACTACTAGTAAGGCACCTGTTACTAGTTGTGAAATCCTGAGAGGTGGCTTCGGAGAGGTCACACACCGTTCATCCAAGAGACTCCCAGGAGAACCGGTATGGCCAGACTCCAGTTGGCCTGGCCGGATCAAGATTCAAAGTAGCCGAAGATATCTGAGGTGACAAACGGGCCTGTCAAAAGTCATGTAGGCTCCAAAGTTCCAGAAGAAGCGAACTGAAGAAGCGAACTTTGCGCTTGAGTCAGTTTAATTGCGTCCACAGTGGGAAAAAAAAACGAAGAACTACTGAGCTCAACACGACACTATAGTTGAAACATTAATCAACATGTCACCATGTATGGATATGTATGGCTGTTTGATGCAAAGAGCACAGAAGAAACATCTGAACAACTGTTGAGGTAGGCCTGCAAAGTGTAACCTTCGTACCTCAAGCATGTCCATGTGGGCGCTAAATGTCAGAAAAAGCCTCTTGGCAGTCACTGTCCATTTGCCAAACTTTCTACGGAGGCATGGTTCCATTGGTAAGTATGGGGTGCAGCAATCCGGGCGCCTTCTTTGCAACGGGCTCCTTCTCCTGACGGCACAAAATTGGGCGGGTCCCAAGACTCGAAAAAAGGAAACAAAAACAGGTTCTCATTTGGAAGGACGCTACTAGGGGCTCCTGGCATCACTTCACACCTGGAGAGATTGGGAAGTGGGACCCCCAGATTTGCCAGAGCGCGAGGGTTTCCGACACAAATTGAAGACTGTGGATCTGTCCCCAAACCGTGAAGTGCACTAATTGACAGCCAGCCATGCAGCGTGTCGTGCCATGTGCGCTGGTGCTTTGCTCAGAGTTCTCAGGAGTTGCACTGGATCACCAAGCGACCACACGAGTTCTTTTTGAATCCCTAGAGTACCGCTCCTAGTAGCGTCCTTGCTCCTAGTAGTAAAGCCAGGAGCCCCTAGTAGCGTCCTTGCCCCAAAAAACTCTAGCTGGAACAAGATCTTCCTTCAGAACCCTCCACTGCGGTCCTGTCCCTCTTCCAAGGTATTGTCTGCTGCCACCTCGCGTGTCGAACGCGACCGTTTCAAAGCTGCTTTTGTCGCTGGGCTCCTGGCCTCGCTGGTAGGAGCAAGGACGCTACTAGGGGCTCCTGGCCTTACTTCTAGGAGCAAGGACGCTACTAGGGGCTCCAGGAGCAAGGACGCTACTAGGGGCTCCTGACGCTAATTACTAGGGGCTCCTGGCCTTACTACTAGGGCTCCTGGCCTTACTACTAGGAGCAAGGACGCTGATTGCTAGGGGCGCCTGGCCTTACGGAGCAAGGACGCAAATTACTAGGGGCTCCTGGCCTTACTACTAGGAGCAAGGCCTTGCTACTAGGAGCAAGGACGCTGGACGCTACTAGGGGCTGCTGGCCACGCGACTAGGGGCTCGTGGCATCGCTACTAGGAGCAAGGACGCTACTAGCGGCTCCTGGCCTCGCTACTAGGAGCAAGGACGCTACTAGGTTAGAGCCGGATTCGGAAACTAATCGGTCTGATTCTGAAACTAGGGTTCTGAAACTGGTGTTCTGAAACTAGGGTTCTGAAACTTGGATTCTGAAACTGGTATTCTGAAACTGGGGTTCTGAAACTAGGATTCTGAAACGGGGGTTCTGAAACTAGGATTCTGAAGCTGGGATTCTGAAACTTGTATTCTGAAACTGGAAAGTCAGATTCTGCAACTGGTATTCTGAAACCGGAAAGTCGGATTCTGCAACTTGCCTTCTGAAACTTGCAACTGGTGATCTCCACATCATGCGACAGCGTGTGTGCCTGTGACATCACCTTCGAAGCACATCCAAACCAACGTCATTAGCCCCCCACCCAACCCCCCCACCCCCCAACCCCCCCTTGTCCCCATCGTGTGATCTCGACATCACGCCAACCCCCTCATCATTCAGAAAGTTGCGGAATCCTAGTGAGGGAGTCCACAATGTTGCGGAATCCTAGTTGCGGAACGCCAGTTGCGGAATCCCAGTTGCAGAATCCTAGTTGCGGAATCCTAGTTGCGGAATCCTAGTTTCGGAATCCTAGTTGCGAAATCCTAGTTGCGGAATCCTAGTTGCGGAATCCTAGTTGCGGAATCCTAGTTTCGGAATCCTAGTTGCGGAATCCCAGTTGCGGAATCCGACCAAACAGTTGCGGAATCCTAGTTGCGGAATCCTGCGCAGTTGCGGAACTCGACTTTATCCGACGCTACTAGGGGCTCCTGGCCTCGCTAGTAGGAGCAAGGACGCTACTAGGGGCTCCTGGCCTTACTACCAGGAGCAAGGACGCTATCGCTACTGGCAGCAAGGACGCTACTAGGGGCTGCTGGCCGTAATTTTAGGATCAAGGACACTACTAGGGGTTCCTGGCATCGCTACTAGGAGCAAGGACGCTACTAGGGGCTCCTGGCCTTACTTCTAGGAGCAAGGACGCTACTAGGGGCTCCAGGAGCAAGGACGCTACTAGGGGCTCCTGGCCGTACTGCTAGGAACAAGAAGCTATTAGGTGCTCAAGCTGCGATCTTTTCACCACTGACAGCCTTTTCCTTCACAGCCTGTGACAGACGGCCCGGCCTGTGCGGGCTGCAGCATGTGGGAGGCCCTGAGGGTCTTGAAAGCGAAAAAGACATTCTCAAGAAGTCACATCCGAACAACTCAGGAACAAGAGGACGCTATTAGTAACAAAGGGCATCGCTACTTGCAGCAAGGACGCTACTAGGAACAAAGGGAATAGGAGGCTAGTAGGACGCTACCTGACGCCTCACGACATGCCTCGCGACGCTCGTCTGTGGCTTTGAGCACTGTGAGGCATGAGCTCTTGACCTGCTCTGACCATCTGAATGACTTTCAGACTAATGGATCGGTCGGGTAGTGGTCGGATCCGGATTTGTGTGTGTGGCTTGAAGAGCTATGTAGGACACATGGGTGTGTATTACTGTGTGTATTAAACCCCCCGAAGAGGAAAGACCAACATCCCATTTCAGGGGAGTCGTAGTGCCTGATCAGTGACTCAGACTTTGATCTGTGCATCTCCATCATCCCATCCAATCTCTGCAACCAGAGCGTGATTTGACACTTGCGACTTGCCATGATTTGCTGTGTCTGTATTTAGTAATTTTGGAAGAACAAAATCCTCTTCCTGTCCTCCCAAAGCTTCCAAATCCTCCACTCACCTGCTCCGACCGTTCCACTCGTTCCGCTCGTTCCGCTCGTTCCGCTCGTTCCTCTCTTCGCCGAGTGGCTGGTGCATCATGATGCCAAGTAACCACCCGGCGATCACACAGCTGCCCCAGGCGACCGCCAAACCAGCCTCCACACCGTGAAAGACCGAACCACGTGGCGTTTAGTCGCGAACGCGAGCGTTGCTTTGGGCTAGACAGACTGGCCGAATATGCTGCAGAATACTGAAGATAGTATTGCTCTTTGCACTCCTGTAATGAGCTCAATCACCTGGAACAGAAACCTCAAGGAAAAAGAATTATACCAGCGAGTGACTTGACACATTGACCGGCAGTATCACTCAACAATGCTAGTGAAGACATCCACAAGAATTTCCTCCATAAGCCACGCAGCCCACTAGTCACCCCTGAACAAGGCAGGCAGAAATCGCGACTTGTAGCGACCATTTGTTGCTACGCCTCGCGCTCCTATGTTCTAGGAGCTGGCCAAAAGATGCTAAACTAGGCAGAATCCAAGAAGTCTTGTACCACAAACAATGCCAACATTGAACAGGGGGGATTACGACTGGAAAGCTGTGCGCAGCAACGCCTCCCTCAAGGTCATATCATTTTGTTGAGGCGAAATGGATCGGCAAAGCACAGCCATTTCGGGAAACGACAGTTGAAGATCCGCTGGAGCCATTTCGCCATTGGTCTTCGTGTCTGCACGGGAGTGTCTTGAAACGAAGTGGTGGGTGCATGCCCAGTGGTCGTTGGTCATTAGGAATTGTGATGACCATCCGGAATCGTTCAAAAGCATGAGGTGACTTTGTTGATCAAAGCTGGACGTCGAACCTCTTGGGCGAAGATATTGAAGTCATAGAACACATAACAGATCCTACCAATGAACAATGTTCGCTACTAGGGGCTCCTGGCATCGCTACGAACGGAGCAAGAACGCTACTAGGGGCTCCTGGCCGTACTACTAGGAGCAATGTTTGCAAGGAACAAAAAGCTACTAGGAACAAGTGCATCGCTTCTAGTAACAAGTGCCTTACTAGTAGTAACAAGTAACAAGAAGCTATTAGAAACAAAAAGCTACTAGGAGTCCCACCAGTTCCATCCGACTGCCTCGCTCTTCCCTGCAGCCATGAGGTGCGAAGCCTCGACAGTTCCGTTCGGGCACCGTCAGTGGCGAAATGCGGATCCCGAAGTCCCGAGTAGCCATGCCCTTGTCACTTAGCGTCCTTGTTCCGTTCGTAGTAAGGCCAGGAGCGCCCCTAGTAAAGTAGCGTCCTTGCTCCGTTCATAGCGATGCCCTTGCTCCTAGTAGCTTCTTGCTACTAATAGCGATGCCCTTGTTACTAGGAGCTACTACTAGTGATGCCCTTGTTCCTAGTAGCGATGCCGGTAGCTGCTAGTTTGATGGTCTTTCGAAAAGTGAGCAAAAGTCTTTGGACTTCTAGGGTGGAGATTTGCTTTGCGGCTCGGGGTGGATCAAGAATTTATGATTAAACAATTGAATTCAGTGGTTTTCGGATGTGCTTCCTTTTTCCCACGAAGATGGTGGAGGACTTCCCATCATCAGTCTGAATTCGCTAAGGTTAGACATGGCCATCCACTGAGCTGTCTGTTTTCACCCTGTCTGCGACTTCCGCCTCCGGCATGAGCAGGAAGATGCTCACCGCAAAGAGGACGCCGGAGGCTCCGGCGTTGCAGTAGTGGATGAAGGTCTTCACATGTTCGCTCGCCTCGAGGCTCGAGCCGACGGCACGAGTGTCGTTCATTTAAAGGGAACCAACAGCAATGGCCTCCACCCTACTAGCCTCGAGGCTCACGTCAAGGCCGGAGATGAGGCAATAGGTGATCGAGCTTCAACTTCTGGAGTTTGCGATTTGTGTTGTCCACAAGCACGCAAATATAGCATAATATAGCCATTGGATTCTTTTTGGCCCCATTTCTACACCAAAGCCTCTGCTTCATCAGCTTCGCGTCACATCGTCTCTCGACGTGACCAACTCAGGTCCGGACAGACGAACACTTGCACACCGAGAAGAGACAACCAATTCCCAGCAACGTCGGGAGCCTGAGGAGCGGGAGGAGCCAACCGCCCCAACGCCGGCAAAAAGCGCGCGCGGCGACGCATTGAACTTGGGTATGGTTCACCCCCAGACACACCAAAAGATCCAACAATCCTGCATTACTACTAGGAACAAGAAGCTACTAGTAACTGAAGGCCATCGCTATTAGTAGCAAGAAACTACTTTTCTCAGTCTCTTCTGATCCGAAATCAGAAGCTCCATCCCAAGGGACGATTTCAATCCACTCTCGACTCCGAACCTTTCGCACGGAGAAATCCCCAGCTACACTTTGTCGTGGGTTCATTTGGACACCTTGCGTACCAGCCGCCCATATGTCAAGTCATTCCAAAGCTGGCCGAGTTGCGTGATCAGCATGGACCTTGGAGAAGGATTATTGGTACAATCCAGACCTAACAAAGCCTTGCAACACTCGAAACAACCTGCCTATGTCGGCGAAATGTCTGTTGCTTGGTCTTGTAGACAACGGGCTCAAAGGTTGATATATGGTGGTCCCAAGATGTTTCTGTGTCTGTCCATGTCTAAAAGCATGCTCGGAGGCCATCGCTGTTAGGTCGGAGGCCATTGCTTTTAGGTTCCCTTTCCACCATGTTCCCTTTGAAAAGCTGAAGGTGGCACTTCATGGCTCCCTTGAAGGTCTGATGCAAGCGTGTGCCCAGGGGCCCAGGCAGCAAGGTGGTAGGGTCTGGACTGTCCTACTAATAGCTTCTTGTTACTACTACTACTACTACTACTACTACTACTACTACTACTACTACTA